TCAATCGCAATGACTCACTTATTAACAGTGACTTGCTGCCACCTGCTGGTGGTTTTAATTTCACATTTAAAGTTTCAAATATCAGTATTCAACGTTTTATGTTTACAATATTAAAATATTATTTATGCATGTGTAACTGCAGGCTAAATGTATTAATGTCCTGCAATAATCAGTGTGTAAATGCATCTAAATGCCATTTCAGATGCAGCTTCTGTGTTTCCTCTGCATTGCAAAGATGAATTTTGTTGATTGATACATCCATTTGCTTGATAACAGCCCAAATGTCTTATTATAAGTGACTGATTAAATATAAGAATTTGACTCAAATGATAATGCACACTTTTAGAAAAAATGGCTTTACGGTAAAAATGACCATAAAAGGTAAAAATCTATTTAAACTTATTGGAAAATATTAATTTCGGTCACTGCTGTGAACTCACCACCACACAGAATATGAAGAATATAAAACATTTTAGGAGTCAGCTGTCCACTGTAGTCCTTAAGATATCAGCACAGTAACACTCAGTCAAATTATTGTTATCGATAAAATTCCAGAAAATATCGAGATATCATTTTTTGTCAATATCGCACACCCCTAGCTGCCAGCCGTTCGGTGCAACTGGCAGAGCTGAATGTAAAATTTAACACCGCATACACCATCCTAACCCTCGTCAAAGAAGAGCTTAACTTTAGGTTGTTCACAAAAGAAATCTGTCAGTGTTCTTTTCATTTTCTCTCTTCTTCAGCCCTTTCTTTTTCTCGCGGTTAGCGGAAAGCAGTGACTGAGAGATTGACAGCTAATATTAACCAATACAAAATCTGCATTAAAATTAAGAATGTAAGGATAAAATCTGTTAATATATAATTTGTAGTTGTAATGCTCATACATTTTTGGTGAATTCACCAGTGCTACCAAGTAAAAAAGTTAATTTCGAGCCCTGAAATAAAATGGTGTGATATCCTTACCTACTTTTTACACCCCTAGCTGCCAGCCGTTCGGTGCAACTGGCAGAGCTGAATGTAAAATTTAACACCGCATACACCATCCTAACCCTCGTCAAAGAAGAGCTTAACTTTAGGTTGTTCACAAAAGAAATCTGTCAGTGTTCTTTTCATTTTCTCTCTTCTTCAGCCCTTTCTTTTTCTCGCGGTTAGCGGAAAGCAGTGACTGAGAGATTGACAGCTAATATTAACCAATACAAAATCTGCATTAAAATTAAGAATGTAAGGATAAAATCTGTTAATATATAATTTGTAGTTGTGATGCTCATACATTTTTGGTGAATTCACCAGTGCTACCAAGTAAAAAAGTTAATTTCGAGCCCTGAAATAAAATGGTGTGATATCCTTACCTACTTTTTTTAATAAACTGCAATATTAATAATGTTATTATTACTTTGAGAAGTACATTACAATATAATAGATTTATGTAATAATTTATTTAAATTAAATGAAACAAAGACAAAAATGTGCTGTCCATTCATAGAGACACGCAGAACATGCAGACTTCATATTTAAAGACCAGTCTAAACAGCATCCAAATTTTGCAAAAATCCGTGACATTTCGCACTATACAGTACATTCCTTTTTTTATTCCTTTTATTTTCCATTTTATGATTCCGCAATTCCGTCTGCATTTTCAGCTTTGTGAAAATCATAAGCCCCTAGATTATTCTAAAAAAAAAAAAAAAAAAAAAAGTTGCAAACCTGATCACTTTGAAAAATAACTGCACCCTTTTCCTCAATAAACCGCAAGATTTGAGGCATAATTCATGTCTGAAGTACTAAATGTTGGAATGATAAAGATGCCACTAAAGCCCAATATTTTCCAAAAGCGACTGTTAGAGAAATTTCTACACTTTGACACTCCAATGAGAAAAAAAGCTGTGAAAATCTGATACACAGGAGTCTGTGTTGAGTGTTGCTCGGGGCTCAGTGACGAGTGATTTCAGCGGCTCAACACAATTAGCTTCGTCTCATCAACTCTGCACCTCATAACCTGACAGCACAGAAATCAGTCAGATACTCCACCCACATACACAAGTTCTTCATACTTTTTGATAACATTTTTGATTAGAAGGTGCTCCTAAAATTTGGAATGTGCTCCTAAATTTTTTAAATTAGGAGCACAAGTGCTCCTAAAAAGAAAAGCAAGCGTTGAGCCATGCATATACAAGTCTACGGAAAGCTGTGTTTGCTTTATGATTTTTTAGTGTTTAATTGTCAGGTAACACCAATTTCATTTACACTGTACCGCTCACATATATAACCAAAACTTCCGTTGAAAAAGATGAAAAATAAAAAATGTGTGTAAACGGTAAAAAACACCGTATTTAACGCCATAAATTTAATTCTGACCCTTTTGGCTTGCCATATACAACACAAAGTATCTCACGCGGGAAACACTTAACGTAACGCGTAAAATGCGCGTAACTAACGTAAATCAAACAAGCTAGTATGCATAGGCCACGAAGTGTTGGCGAAATAACACATTAGTGGACCAGAGGGAATAATATGGAATTTTTTCCAGAAAACTTCTTGCACAAAATAAATTCAAGCACTTTCAAGGACCTGTATCTATGTACGTTTATTTTCAAAAACTTTCCAGGGCCTTGACATTTTTTTTTCAGATTCATATACTTTCAAGAATTTCAAGGAGCCGTGGGAACCCTGTTTAACACTGTGCCAGCTGGCGAGTAACGAGCTGAAATACTATAAAAGCTTTTTAAAACAGTTTTATAAAGTTTACTTTCAGATAAAACCTCTAAAATGGATTAGAAATTTGTTTGTGGAGTAATACAATTTCCTAATTTCCTAATTATCCTACATCATTGCTTAAATATGAGCGCTTTGAGTAATTAATGAACTGAATGAGCTGTGTGCGGCTGCAGATGATCCACAGCGATTTTCGTCAGAAATGTGGCAGAGCCGAATGAAGAATCAGCGAGCCTCCTGTCAGTCTGAATGAGAGTGAAGGACAGTAATTGACTTTGCACGGAGGCGCTGACAGTGGGAAGTGGCTAATCTCATTACGCTGATTGTCTGTTTGAGAGCATTACGCTGGGATCTGACCGAATTATACATGTTGGGCTTGAACATAATGAGCGGCGTGTAATCCCTGGTAATCAAAGTGTGCAGCGCCTCCTCGTTCCTGCTTTAACCAGCACGCAACTGATTTCACACGCCACCAAAACACAGCTCACACTGCAGCTGGTGACACGTATTACAGCGAGAGGAACTGCTCTGGGAAAACCCAAGACAGAAGGCTGGAAATAAACGATAAAGCGAGACAGCAAAGGTTTCACTTTAACTTGACTTGAAGAAATGTATGTGAATGAAATTAAAGTGAGGTGAGAAATAAGTGTAAACGGTGCCGTTTCTGTTTTTGCTGACAGTGCACTGCCATCTTGTGGTCAGAGTGAATGAAAAAAACAAAAAAGACACTTAAAGCAAGAGTTCAGTTATTCCTCAACTAAATCAATGTCTAAAATGTATACTTTTCAATATTTGGCTTAATTTGTTTTGTGTGTTCCTAAGAAGAAAGAGGCCACATGTTCAAATTAGCTACAATCACTCAGAGAACAGGGATTAGATTTCCGTCAGTTCATAAAGACAGTCACTTGCTTCATTCCTGAATGATTCAGCCATTTGAATGAATCAATCGAATGAATGATTCAGTGATAAAATCAGTGAATTAATTTATTAATACTAATTTCATATGATTGGTAACTTATTTGTCTTATTCTAGATATTGATCTAAATAGAAATTTTAAAAAGATTATAAACATACATTTTTTGAATTTGACAGATGAAAATGGTGCCATTACAAAGGTAAAAAGAAAATACTCCTGTAAGTCACTTTAAGGAGTGAAATGTCACCTCATATTAGGAAGGCTAATTTTTGATCAGAATTTTTGATTATTGATCAGAAGGTGCTCCTAAATTTTTAAATTAGGAGGACAAGCGCTCCTAAATACAAGAAGAAAAAAACTGCTCTTAAACTAGGTGTGTGATGGGTATGGCTGAGGAATGGGGTTTGGTCGAAGAAAAATTCAGTCAAAAATGTTTTTTTGCTTTAATCCCTGCAATATAATAAGTAGAATAAGACAAATAAGTTACCAATCATATGAAATTAGTATTAATAAATTAATTTGTACTACAGAGGTGGCACAGAAGAACACAAAAGTGGCATGTAGGTACATTTTCAGATGTTTAATGAGGCTCAGAGGTGGCATGAGCGCAATTAAATTCATAAATTCATGTGGACATTAATGTTTTAAAGATAACATTTTGAATACAGAAATATGATTCAAATAACTGAAATTATACGCTAAAAATGAAACTAAATCCGCCAGCAGGTGGCGGCAAGTCACTGATTTTATCATTGAATCATTCATTCAATTGATTCGTTCGAATGGCTGAATCATTCAGGAATGAAGCAAGTGACTGTCTTTATGAACTGACGGAAATCCGTCGTAGCGACGGAACTTTAATCCCTGAGAGTACCTTAGCAACCCCATAGCAACACCCACAAAATCCTAGTATCATGACAACAACATTTGTTACTTTTTCTTATAATTAATTTTGCATTATTTGATTAAGAATATTTTTTTTTGTCTCTACTAGATAATTCATATTTAATATAGATTTGTTCAAATATAGCTTTCAAAAACACAGGCTACAGCCTCACACTAATACACTGGCAGGCACAAAACTGTTGAGAACCTTACAGGTTTTGTCCCTTATATTCTCACTTCAGTGACGCAACATCAAAAATGTCTTGCCACACCGAGTTCTGGAGTTATGATAATAAAGTCTGTTGGCTTCCAAGCAAAATGTCAGTAAGTTGTTAGCACTGTTAGTCACTGATCTTGACTTTAGAAGAGCTTTTGCATCACTTTAATTTCATTTTTACTCTCATTTGGCGCTTGGCAAGTGTATCATATTTTATGCAGACAGTGAAATGTCTGGCATGTAAGAATCGAGATCATGTGACTTACTCGGTGTGGCCCTGGAAGACATTCACTGAGTGGATGGAGGGATCTCTGAAGTCCCACAGACGGAAGGTGGTGTCCCTGGATGAGGTCACCACCAGACGCTGGGTGGGATGAGTACAGCAGTGGGTCAACTCTTGATCGTGACCTGCACACACACACACACACACGTGTAAAACAGAGCTATGTGACCCTAAAACCCTGGCAAAGGAAACCAAGAAAGCCACAAAAGCAACCCGTCAGTGGAGAAGAGCGGTGGCTGGTTTACCTGTGAGGGCGTGCACCAGCTCTGAGGTTTCTACATCATAGAGGTTGGCGGCTCTATCCCAGGATGCAGTGACCACCTGCTTTCCTCCCACCAGCCAATCAGCTGCTATCACCACACCCTGGTGGCTCTTCAAGGTCGTTGTGGCGATACGGATAGTGGGGCATTCATTGGGCCCATCTGCCTCCCCATCGGCCTCATCTTTATCAGAGAAGTCCACGTCATCGTCCAGCGAGGCCTGATTCACAGAAAAAAAAAATTCATGAAATGAAGGTATGTAAAGCTAATTCAGACTTTGAAATGATATATTAATAAATAATATAATAACTAATATATCAAATTATGCATTTACAGCCATTTACTGAACATTGTAATGCTACACTATGTAACTTTTGGCCTCTTGTGGTTAAAAGACAAAACCGCATGTGTCTTGCAAAAGAGAACATATTTTTGGTTGTGCTTCGGCTCTGCTCCACTGTGCTAATGAATGTGGTTCGCATGACCGGTGTTGTACACATGGATACAGGACATCTTACCAGAGCAGACGGACAACTAAATAATGTTTTTGTTTTTGCAACCAGTGATTTCCCAGGGGTTTGCCAATTTGAACGATCCATGGTCACTTTCTTCATTTGTTGTGAAGTTAAATGTTCTGCTTTGCGCACTCACAAAACACGTTTGTTACTAAAATGAACATTAATTGAAATAAATTTCAATATATAAAATACTTACATTTATTTTATTTCAGCTAGTTGCCAATGCAACATTTCTCATTTCAATGTAGTCTAACTTGTACTAAAATAACTAAAACTGAAGAAAGGTTATACTACTATAAAACTATACTACCATAACAATATAGACAAAACACCAAAAAAAAATAAAAAACATAATATACAGGGGTTAAAGCAAAAAAAAATCCTGAGCCTGAACCTTTTTCCAGGGGCTGTGGGGGTGGACACATACACAGGGTTATTTGGCAAAAAAAATAAAAATAAATAAAGAACCTTGTTTGTAGAGATCGACCGATATATCGATTTACCGATATGTTTCCCGATATTTAAGCATTTTACCATAACCGGATATCGGTTTTGTAATATCGGATTTGCCGATAAATGCTGCCATCTTGTGGGTCTTTTGAGAATTGCGCGCAGGATCACCATTGCTGCGCGTCTGAGGGGAGACGAGACAACAACAACTGCATGGTGCAGGTACTTGATTTGTGTAGTTAGTAAACTTTATTTAACATAACAGCCATTTATGCACAAATTAGATGCATTACATAAATGCCTGATATGTAGTTTATGCAGCTTGGCTCTAAGAAAGAGAGACCAACTCACGGAGTCATGTAAAATAATCCATCAAGTCATGTCCCAATAAAGACATAACTTTGCATGAGTTAAATATTACAGCCATGAATGAGCGCATGTTGGAAATAAAAGCACTGAATTTAATTCTCTCTCTCTGTTGTATATTTGCTCATCATTAGTCTCGTGAAGCCGCTTTCATATTGCTGTTCACTCACCGGGTTGAAATAAGTTTTCATGATATATTAAAAAACAACAAACTTTTTTTTTTTTGTCTTTCAATAGCATGCACTTATAAATTGTCCACAAAAATTGCATGTTGACTTTTTGCATTAGCAAGACACCTGGATGAGAGACGATGCATCGGAGAAGCATCATTACATAAAAAGGACACAGAAATATGAAAGTGTGAGTGTGTGTGTGTGTGTGTGTGTGTGTTTTAACACTCACGCTGATGTCTGCTGGGGGCTGAGGAAGCGGCAGCTGTACCATGTAACGCCAGATGTGTGCCGTCTGGTCTCCGGACGCTGTCAGCAAAAACAAACACAGATGGAGCAATATATAAAAAAAGGACAGTCATCTATCAAATCACATTTAAAAGCATCTGACAGGTGGGGGGAGAGATACAAATAGAGACATGAAAAAAAGATTTATTATTCAGTCTTATGGAAAAATAAATATTAAAAGGCAATATAGCCTTCAGTCACGGGATAAATGAAACCTCATTAACAGATTCACAGTAAGAGATGTGACTCCTGCATCAGCAACTGCTCACATACATGCAGACTTTAATGTGTAATAACAGTCCATCATGAATCAGCAACAAGCTAATTAATGAAAATTACTCTATTCGCTTTCATAATAAATGTCCCTGATGAAACGGTGTATGCTTAATTGATGCATAATATTCTCAAAATTAGTGATTCCCCGAAACCAAAAGTAAAGTTTTCATTTAGCCGAAAACCGAAGCTAAATATTAATAGTATTCAATAATCAATCGGAAAGTAGGCACAATACAAGTGATGTTTAGTGAAGTTTTGTTCCCTTATCAGCTGAAAACAGCAAAGACTAAAAGATCACGGTTCATCAAAATGAAGATCCATTAAAAACGGGAAATCTACACTGTTATCGTTTCACATGGAAGTGTGTAAAACCCATTGAACGTGTTGTTGTATACCTGTAAGCGCCATCTGCTCTGTGGGGTGGAACTTAATGGAGTTGACTGCAAGAAAGCAAAATAAAGCATGTCAAATATGAAGATTCCAATCTCAATATGTAAGTTTACAAAACTAACACCAGAGTTACAGGCAGAAATCTTCACACCTGATCCAGCGTGACCAGCATATTTTAGCAAGCACTTTCCAGTCTCAATACTCCACAGCATGGAGCAGTGATCTAAAGAATGAAGAATGATAGAATGATTCCTGAAAATTCAGCTTTGCAATCACAGGAATAAAAGGCACTTTAAAATATATTCATAAACAAAATTGTTGTAATAAAATATTTTACAACATTACTGTTTTTACAAATAAATGCAGCCTTGCTAAGCATAACAGACATAATAGAGCATAAAGACAGAACAGCAGTGTATTAGTGTATGATTTGCAACTTGAGCAAAGGGCATGTCAAAATTTAGAGCATGTCTAAATACAATTTAAGGTTTGTGATTTGTATCGGCAATAAAACATTAAATAAACATAAAACAAGAAGTCAGAATGGGTAACTTTTCATTGAAAAAAAGAAAAAGTAATAAAAAACAAAAACGACCTTGGAAAAATGTCCATGTCAAAAAAACGGTCATAAAATATATATTAATTTTTTAAGCTTTCACTGACATACATTTTAAAACCAACATCTTAACTACCAAAAATATATTCATTTTCAAGATTTTAACCCTTTAAATGTCAGTCTGTTTACATAATGGCACTGTTTTGGTTTTGTTTTTCCTCCATATACAATTTTTTGTTATTATTGTTATTATTATTATTACAGTTTTGGATATGCCAATAATAAACAACAAAAACTACCACTCTCACAAACTTCTCAGTAAACACATACAAATCATAATTCTGATCTGATAACAGTACACCCACACAATTATATAATTTCATAATTTTCAAAATTTTCAAAATTCAATATGCCTTTTTTAGTATTTGCTCCATAGGCCAAACCTGAGAAAATTATGTTGTCAGGTAAAAAAATAAATATATATATTAAAAATATTACAAAGTCTGAAGCTTTGCCAAAATAATTTTGAAAGTCAAAGAATGCATAATCTTATGCTTACATGGCACTGGGATTATGCATCATTTTTTTTAATGGGTTTAAATAAGGACATTTTTGTTATTCAGGTCATAGTGTAGATTTTTTTTAACCTAGTGTAAAATAGATTTAAGAAAATGAAATAAGTGTGATATTAAGATTCTAATAAAAATAAACTTTTTGGCTATTTATCAGAATCAGAATCAGCTTTATTCACCAGGTGTGTGCAAACACACTAGAAATTTGTTTTTTTTTTAAGGTGCTCCTGGTACATACACGCATACATACACATCTGACACGAGAACAGAAAAAAACATTTAAATTGCAAGACTTGAGAAAAAGGCAATAATTAATGCTGTTTGGATTAATCAGGACAGGGCAAAAAAAACTCTTAATTGAAACAAAAATAATGGGTAAGGTAAGTGTGGCTGTGGCAGATTTACCGGCTGAAGCTGTGCCTAGAACCAGCGGCTGAACCCGAGTCACGGCCAGGTCCCATATCCCATCCCGGTGTCCCACGTACTCCTTGACCAGCTGACACACTGCACGAGACGTGGTGGCTTTGAAACTGGACACAATCTGAGGAACGGACAGGAGAGTGAGCATTGGGTCAGAGGTTCACACACGCACAGATCTAACTACAGAGCGACAGTAAGCAGCGCAGAAGCATGGGGAATCAATACTCAAACCATACATGACTGTAACACCTCTACACTTATGACACACGTCATGTGGTTACACTGCTGGATTGCATGGACACACTGCATTCAGTCATACAGTCTCGCAAACAAGATCAAGGTCTATGAAAGGAGAGCGTAGTCAATACTTCTGAAATGAGAACGTTTCAATTAAAACGCCCTAACAAGCAAAAATAAGCACAGAATTCAAATACCATTAAAATATATAGAAGCTGACAAAACATGACTCAATTCATGACTGATTCACACACAAAAAATAGTTTGCAAATTGTACAAAAACAAAAATGCATGTAAATAAATCTGAAAAAGGAAAGAAGCTGAGCTGAGAGAGCAAGGTGGCCAATGGCTGTTGTGGTGTATATAGTAGATATATAATTCACATTCAAAAAAAGTGCACATTATTTATTTAAAATCCAATGAAAGATCTCTAATAACAGAAAATGTGTATTACAGAATGGATCTGTGTAACACACAACCGCTCCTGGTGAACTCCGTTGCAAGTTAGAACTAATTTAGAACTGATTAAAAGTTTTAAAAACTGTAATATGTTTGTGAAAGAAGTCTCTCCTGCTCACAAAGGCTGCATTTATATGATCAAAACCACAGTACAAACAGTAATAATTTTCAATTTTACAAGTATTATGATTTAAAATAACTGTTTTCTATTTTAATATATATTAATATGCATACGCAATTCAGTGATGCGTTATTTTTCAGAAACCATTCAAAATATGCTCAAGAAACATTTATAATTATTAACAGTGTTGAAAATAGTTGTGCTGCTTAGTATTTTGTCTGATGCATTTTTTTCAGGATTCTCTGATGAATAGAAATATCAAAAGAACAGCATTTATTTGAAATAAAGTAACACTTTCATTTAACAAGGATGCATTCAATTGATAAGAACCTAGCAGGTGACAGTAAAGACATTCATAATATTTCAAAAGTACTGTACTAAAAATGTATATAATAAGAGTAGTTTATATCACTAGATCACTCATTTAAACTTTGCAGATTATTTGGCATTTAGATCTTTTAACAGGTTCAGTTTGTGACTTAAAATAAACAGAAATGCCCTCTCTGAAAAACATCAGATCGTTTGTTTTTACAATTCACGGTTGCACAACTGTAAATTGTCAAATATCTGATCTGGTAAGCGATACAAATACTGTACAGTAATCTTTACTTGCTACCTACAGTGATGACAGCAACAAAAGTTGACATTTAATACAAAAAAAAAATGCTGTAATATTTAGGGATGCACAATATATCAGTGACCATTTTATGTCTTTATAATGGGAAGCATGACACATTCTAAAACTTCAATAGAACCTAAATCTAAAATTCAAAACTTAAAATTAACTGAAAACTCTGAATCCCATTTTAAACAGTAATATGATCCAAGTTATACAGTATAGAGTAATAAAGTATAGCATAACAAAATCGTGAAAATTGGTATCGGCCATCATTTCTATATCTGTGCATCCCTAGTAGTATCTATAAAAGCAATGCTCAGAATGAAGAAGCATTGAGGTACATTGTCCAAACTTTAACATGTTTTGGCATCACAGGAAGCAAACGACTTCTATAAAGCAATGGACTGAGGAAGGTGTGCAAGCATGTCAATACGCAGCCTAACCACTATGAAGCACTGCTGAGCCTGAAATTCCACTGGAGGTAAGAGCAAACACAGCAAGCACAATGAGCCCTCATCTCAGCACTGTGAAAATGCTCTGTAATATTCAAAAACAATATTATACAGTAACTGACCGAGCTCGTCATATACTGTAGAGGTCAATAAAACAAGTCCAAAGACAATTGCTTGAACCCGCATGTATGATATCCTTCAAAGTTCCATGGCACCAAATCCACAGGTTTTCACTCACAACTACATACGTAGCCTAATACATACAATCGCAATATTATGATTTAAAAAAAAAGTCACGTTAACGATTACACCAGGGCTATTCAATCAGCTTCATTTAAGGGTCGGATTATCGAACTGTGGGGGTGGGGGTGGGGGGCTAAAAAATAGAAATAAATTGAAATGCGTATTGAGCAGTCAAATGAACTAATATTACCAAGAGTAACATCTATAAAAGGTTAAAATTAGTGCGGTCAATTGATTGAAAAAAATTATTAAATCCCTCATTTTTCTGTAATTGTAATCAATTGCATATTAATATTGTCACAATTTCACAATGAACCTCCAAATTAATGTAGAAACAACATAAAGATGGTATTAGGGATGTTCATTTCGGTTATTTCTCTTAACTGACAACCGCCGCTCGTTAACCGATTAACCGTTAAACTAGGGCTGGACAATGATTCAATATCAATATGTATCGCGATATAATTTTTTTCAATAACGGTGATATGATTTTTAAACATTTCCGATATAGCCAAAAAAAAAATGCTGTAATATTTAGGGATGCACAATATATCAGTGACCATTTTATGTCTTTATAATGGGAAGCATGACACATTCTAAAACTTCAATAGAACCTAAATCTAAAATTCAAAACTTAAAATTAACTGAAAACTCTGAATCCCATTTTAAACAGTAATATGATCCAAGTTATACAGTATAGAGTAATAAAGTATAGCATAACAAAATCGTGAAAATTGGTATCGGCCATCATTTCTATATCTGTGCATCCCTAGTAGTATCTATAAAAGCAATGCTCAGAATGAAGAAGTATTGAGGTACATTGTCCAAACTTTAACATGTTTTGGCATCACAGGAAGCAAACGACTTCTATAAAGCAATGGACTGAGGAAGGTGTGCAAGCATGTCAATACGCAGCCTAACCACTATGAAGCACTGCTGAGCCTGAAATTCCACTGGAGGTAAGAGCAAACACAGCAAGCACAATGAGCCCTCATCTCAGCACTGTGAAAATGCTCTGTAATATTCAAAAACAATATTATACAGTAACTGACCGAGCTCGTCATATACTGTAGAGGTCAATAAAACAAGTCCAAAGACAATTGCTTGAACCCGCATGTATGATATCCTTCAAAGTTCCATGGCACCAAATCCACAGGTTTTCACTCACAACTACATATGTAGCCTAATACATACAATCGCAATATTATGATTTAAAAAAAAAGTCACGTTAACGATTACACCAGGGCTATTCAATCAGCTTCATTTAAGGGTCGGATTATCGAACTGTGGGGGTGGGGGGCTAAAAAAATAGAAATAAATTGAAATGCGTATTGAGCAGTCAAATGAACTAATATTACCAAGAGTAACATCTATAAAAGGTTAAAATTAGTGCGGTCAATTGATTGAAAAAAATTATTAAATCCCACATTTTTCTGTAATTGTAATCAATTGCATATTAATATTGTCACAATTTCACAATGAACCTCCAAATTAATGTAGAAACAACATAAAGATGGTATTAGGGATGTTCATTTCGGTTATTTCTCTTAACTGACAACCGCCGCTCGTTAACCGATTAACCGTTAAACTAGGGCTGGACAATGATTCAATATCAATATGTATCGCGATATAAATTTTTTCAATAACGGTGATATGATTTTTAAACATTTCCGATATAGCCTACATTACCAGTGTTTCCCATACACTGATTTATTTGTGGCGTTTGACTTCGTTGAATAAACATGAGCACTGCACGTTTCAAAATCAAAACGCGTCGCGGGTGTTTTATATGAATGTATCTCTGAAGGGAACCGACTGTCTTCAGAATAGTTTAGATGGCATTTTGATCTGATAAAGTAGCGTTCATGAGCGGAGCTGCTTTGTTTACAGCCGTTACTGGAGAACCCGTTAGTTCTGCCGCTCTCACAGCGCCTCCTGCTGGCAGACAAGCAGTTCGCATTTTCAAGAATAAACCCATTTCCAGCAACATGCTTTTGTTGTTGCTCAACTTTTTTTGTTTTCTGAAGCAACTCGGAGCATGTTTCATACTCGTTATCCTGGTTAATGCACGTTTCAATCTATAAGAATAATCAGCCTACACTACCAGTCAAAGATTTTTGAACTGCAAGATTTTTAATGTTTCTTAAAGAATTCTCTTCTGCTCACCAAGCCTGCATTTATTTGATCCAAAATGCACCAAAAGCAGTAAAATTTTTTAATATTTTTACTATTTAAAATAACTGCTTTCTATTGGAATATATTTTAAAA